CTCCTTCTTCTCCTCCTCCTCTCCGAATGCTTTCAGGGCAGGTTTGGCTGGCTGGAGTTGTGGGGATTGAACCACAGCAACCTGAGCCTGAATGCTTTGTTGAAGCAGCCATTTGCAGAACTGAGCTAAGGGGCAGGCCCCCATCCAATAGCTTCTTGAGTGAACTTTATGTTTAGATTCTGAAAGGATCCCAGAAAGCTTTTCAACTATTATGAACAATAACAACAGCAAAATGTGTTTAACATGAAAAATATAGAATGTGCTAAATTTAAAAACTTCTGCTTATTTTTCTCCTCTGCATCTTATTCAGGTTGAAGTAAGAAATGTTGGCGAGATATACAAGATCAGAATAGGACACCATGGCCCCAGGGGACGGCCTGCGTGGAGCCTGCAGAGGGTAATCGTGGTCCTTGTTTTGCCCCTCGTAGTTATTCTGTGAGGAGAAGAGGCCGGCCAGCCATGCAGACTGGTGTGCAGTCCAGCGTATTTTACAAAACTCTAAGTAACAGAGATACAATTTTTGGTTCATTTTTATAATATTTTTAAAATAACATACAGAGGTATTTGCAAATGTAACCATTTTCATGAGAAAAATCTGAAGAATATAGTGAAGTACAGGAACAGAAATGTGCTATTCCTGATCTTAGATTACAGCGCTGATGGGTCCTTTGCTTTAGACTCTTTTAGTGAGTCTCTGTCATGTGCACTTCTGTACTTTCTCTCTTCTACTCTGTATGTGTATATTCTATGTATAAGTAAGATATAGATATATGTAAAATGCATTTATCATAAATGCACTCTATATATGTATTTAATGAAATTCAATTTTGCCACGTATACACTTTTGGGTTCTACTTTAAAATTTAACTATGGCAATAATAATGTTTGTTGAGTGCCTACAATATGCCAGCTGCCTCACAAAATGAAACTGAATTTTTAGGTGCTGGGGATATTGCTCAGTAGTATAGCACCTGCCTGGCAAGCATGAGGCCCTGAGTTCAGTTCCCAGTACCCCCCAGCTCCCCAACCCCTTATCAACAAAAGCAGACACAAAACAAATCCTGCATCTTTTGCCCAACAGAAACTCTTTGTTTGAGGTAATATTGATATCCCTATTTTATAGATGAGACTCTCGAACCTCAGTAAAGTACAGTAATCTGCCTAAGTACACTTAGTCAGTTGTCCTACTGTGTGTGTTGTACTGCAAAGACTGAAATCTTGAGCTTTGCCATTTGGCCCTGAAGTTTGTTTTAAAAAGAGATGGTGGTTAAACTCTTAGAGGTCCCGAGAGTTCCCAGTGGAAAGAGGTTGCGCTAGAGCAGCGTGACACAGCTTCCATTCTAGGGCGGCTTTGTTTTCTAGTTCCACGTACTATATCTTTCATTGTTTTTTTTTTTTAGAATACATATGCTATTTTTATCTATTCAACCTTTTATTTATTTATGTATTTGGTATGAGGTCTTGCTACGCAGCTCGGACTTGTAGTGGTCCTCCTGTCTCAGCCTCCTCAGTGCTGGTATTACAGGTATGGCCACCATGCTTGGTTTTGTGGCCGACTGGGCACCGGGTAGGCAGGCCATGCGATACGGAGGTTGAGCCTGGGTCCTTCCACTTGCCAAGCAGGCACTTAGACCATTCCTTGGCCAGTACACTTATTATTTTAAAATGATTGATGTTTAAAGTTTTGTATATTTTAATATACATTTTAGTTAGAATTTAATAAAACATTCTCTATTTTAAGTGGTTCACAATTATATCTGTGATTTAATTGTATCTGTGGCAGTAATGACAGCACTGAACATACCGTTTGTAGCATGTGCGCAGCGTGATGAGGTGTGCCTGGGCAGCACAGGAACTAAGGAGCACACCTTGCTGCTGGTCACGCGGAAGTTCTTGGCACCAACAGTGCCCTGTGGTGGTAGGTGCTTTAGCGAATGGGAAGAGCTCATGCCACTGAGGCCTTCTAGAAGTGAGATGGAGAATGACCTTTCAAGAAGATGAAAAACTGTGGGACCTCCAGAGTTTTAGTAAAATTACAGTGTCTCTACTTATAACATGATGGGAGGGAAAAAACACACAGGAAAACTTACCAGGAATTCAGTCTTCCTATCTCAATAGTCACTAATATGGATTGTTCTTTTTATGGGGCCCTTGAGTGGGAAGAGTGTGTCTTAGTCCATTTTCCATTGCTATAACAGAATAACTGTCTCAGAGGTGGTCTTTAAAGGAAAGAAATCTGCGCTGCTTGTGGTTCTGGAAGATGTAAGTTCTGGGGAGCCGTCATCCCTTCCTCTGCTTAGGGATAAAAGGCTTACATGAAGAGTAAGGTGGGCAGGACATTACCTAACTAGCAAATGAACTGAGTGCCTAGACTAGGTAATGTTAACGGGACACTACGTAATGTTAAAGGGGCATTTCCTACAGCTCAATTTCTTTTCATTCTAAAGTGTTCTCAAATTTATTAGAAAACACAAGATGGAAGAACTTCAACTACACCCAGCTTCCCCTGTTGTTAACCCAGTACCTCACTGGCTTCATCATTCTCTGTTAAAATATATGAAGGCATATGCGTGATATATATGTGTGATCATCATTTGAAGGATTTACTGATCTGGAGCCCGATAACCCCTGAGCCATGTAATACCTTATTCATCATGAACTTTTCAGCCATTGATCTTATTTTGGTACTGGAGATCGCACTCAGGACCTTGTGCTTGCCAGGCAGGCGCTTATACCACTGAGCTATTTCCCAGCCCTTACCCATTGATTCTAGTGTCCATTGATGTTTCTTGCTTAAGTTATATAGCACTCTGATATTACCAAATCATGATTTTTGGATTCTGTTGTAACTTCTTTATTTATCATCAATGTAGTATGAAGTAGAAATTTTTCTTCTCCTTGCTTAAAATTTTATTTATTTATTTATACCATTTACTTTCTGTATATTTGGATTCTTTACTGTGGATTCGATAGATGGAAAATATTTTTAAAAATTGTGTCTCAGCTGGGCATGGGGGTGTACACCTGTAATACTAGCAATGAGGAGGCTGAGGCAGGATAGTGACCATGAGTTGGAGGTCAGTCTGGGTTGCACAGTGAGTAGAAAGCACTCCTCAACTGCCTCGCAAGATTTTGTCTCAAAAAATAAAGACTAAAAAAGTGTCTACACTGAAGAGGTACAGAATTCCCTAAGCAACAAATGATAAAACTTGCTTGTGTAGCATTTATACTGTGTTGGTTATTATAAGTTACCTGGAGTTAATTTAAACTCTGGGAAAATGGACGTAGGAAGCCATCTCATATCAGAAGTTGAAAATCCATGGCTGCTCTTATACCAGGGGTCCTGGGACCAAGCCCTGTGGACCAGGGATGGCTACAGAGCGTGTGCTTGGAGACTCCTGTTTGATAGATTTCTATGGCATTATGGTTTATTTTAGTCCTGCAATTAGCTTTCATTTGGCTCTTTAAGCTCCTATACATGTCACTGTTCATTCTATGAGGAGTTTATTACTTTCTTACATAGATAAAAGATATTCAGGCTCATTTAATACTTTCTTTCCCCAACTCTAGGATCAGCTATATTCCAAGGACCTCTAGTTTCTTTTACTGGAGAATGGTGATTAGAAGAAACCAGGGTTCATGTAAGACATGCAGAGAAATTATTTTCCCTTTATGTTGTTTTCTGCCCCCTCAGCCCAGAGGCTGTACGCTTGGTGTGATAACTTGGCCATGGCCTCTGCTTTCCCAAGATGCACCCAGTGCTTGTTTCCAGGTGCAGTGAGTCTGTGAAACACCAAGCTTTTACTCCTTGCTCAGAGTTGCAGTACAGTAACACTGCGATGCCCATAGACATCTTTGTAAAACGTTTCAAAAACTGAATACATCACTGGGCATCGTTTTCGGGTAATATTTACTAACATCCTGTGAAATGAATACTGTGCATTGTTGTAAGGACTTGCGGTGTTCGGAGGCCCATCTAGGCAGAGGATGGTACCACGGGACAGTGGCAGCAGTACACGCCGCTGCACTAGGTGATGCCTGCATGTGTTTGTATGTGGGTGAGCTCCTCCCAGCAGGTGCCTGTCCAGAGGCTTCTGTGCAGGGGTGTTCAGGAGAGGAATGGGGCAAGGACACTCACCGGCCCTCCGAGTGGCATCTCTGCGCACCCAGCGGCAGTGGTGAGTGTGGGTCCGCAGGCTCCGAAGGCCGCAGCTGGCGCCGGATAATGACAAGGCCCTGTCTTCTGAATATATAGCAACCATTGGGTGAGACTGTAGCGTGCAGAGTAATCTCTTAGTGATTTGCTTGTTGGGGCTGTTTTTATTATAAAATTTTAAGCTGTTTTTAAGTTATTGTATGTGTAAAACTTTGAGATTAGAAGACATGGCCTTTTGGCCTAATGAATTTTAGCCTGCATGAAGAAATAAGCAATATCGTGGCCAAAATATGGAGGCCATCTTTGGTCTTTGACTCATTTGTGTAACAGTTATACACTGGGAGATATGAAGCTAATGATTGTTAGTGTTATATATAAGGGCTTGTAATCTACATGACTGAGAAAGTGACTAGCTAATATGCTAACCTATTCTTCTGAACTTCCCAAGACTGGAGAAAGTTCTGGGAGAGGTGAGATTTTTATTTTTGAAATCGCTAGGTGGGTAAGTTGTTGGGCAATGATGGTACATGTAAGAGATGTGATGAGTTCACCATAGATCTTGGCCTTTGCCATTGCAGTGATACAAAGTTAGAATGAATATTGATTGTTGAAAAAACTCTGGGTAGAGAAAGCAGATTGAATAGCAAACATTTAGCAATGAGAGTACAAGACCAAGCGAAAATGTGCAAGCCCTAATAGCAGTAGGTAACAATAAGGAAGATGAAAAATATTTTCTAGGGTACTTGGTAAGGCTCTGTGGAAACAGAGAACCCTGATGGGTGGGGAGGAGTGAGTGGGGGCAAGGCTAGGAGGGGTGTGGGCGGGTGGCATCTGGGGACTGCTTGCTTTAGGGATGAAGGTGAACTGCTGTGAACTACTGTGTAGACACACGTATGTAAAATTATTTCTTTGTCAAGGAGAGGAAGTGTCTATTTGTAAAGATCAAATAGTTTTATTCT